GAAATTGATCGAATGAGATCTATTGTGAGATCGATCGAGTGAGATCGATCGAGCGAGACCGGTCGTGATATCGATCGTAAGATCGATCGTGAAACCGGTCGAGTGAGACGTTGGCTCCCCCCCGAGTTTTTTTTTCATCCGAAGTGTGGTCGTATAGGTATATAGGGTGCATCTGATTCGCTGCTATGTAGTATTCGTGTCAGTACTCGTATTCGATGTTAAGATTAAATGTGTATATCTATATATCCAAGACTGCAGTGGAGCTTCGCGCCATGCACTTTGGTCCTTGAAGATTGGTACGCAGGCGGAAATGGCAGGAAGGTCAAGCGGACAATTTTGTGATAACTCTTTGTTGCCTTTTTCTGGCATCGCCGTTATAATGATGTTGTTCGTTATCCTTCCTCCATGTTTATTTTTCCTCATTCTCGCCATACCCTGGGTATGCTCCCCATCCTCTTCAGCTCCTTTTGCGGAGGCTCCTCCTTAGAGAGCCTCTGGGGGTCTCACCACAGTTCTCAGGCTTTCTTAAAGCCTTCTGGAGGCCTCCTGGGCGTGTTCTGGGGGCCTTTGGGGCTTCCTCAGGCCAACCTGCCTCTAACCGCAGTCTCCCTGAACGCCCCGTTCACGATTTGGAATGCTTCGGAGGGTGTCTTGGGGCCATCTTGGGCCGCCATGGGGCTCTCTTAGGGCCATTTTGGATCCTTGTTGTGCCGTTCTGGAGCTCTCTTGGACTGCATGCAAGCCCTTTCGGATGGTTGCGGCGGGGCGATTTTGGAGCCTCCCAGGCGACTTCGGACGCCCAGATGACCGCTATCTTGGAGCGTCGGGAAGCCGAAAAGAGGAGAACCCGAAATTCTCAAAAAACTTACATGAAATCGATGCTTATTCCCTCTTGGGGCCTTCTTGGGGGTGCTATTGGAGGCCTCTTGTTACGTTTTGGAGCGATCTTTCGGGTATGACGGCTTCTTGGAGCGCTCTTGTGCTGTCTTGGGGTTCTCTGGGACGTCTCCGACGACCCCCCTGATCGCCCTAGGTGTGCTGCGAAGGCTTGGCAAAACGCCCTGCGAGGCCCGGGGGGCTGCTTCGAGGCGCGTCCGAAGGGTCCCAAAGCCCCAGATGTCGGGAGTCCGGTTTTTTTGGGGGGGGACGGGTTTTCCCTCCGCCCAGGCTTGCAAAAATATAGGAAGAGGAATATTCTGATTCCCCAAACAGTGCTTGCACTTAGGGTTTATCATTTCTGTTCTCAGGAACTGGGCAGGTTTGGCGGTCTCGCGGCTACGATGTCGCCGTCGCCGCCCCGTCGGTGCCTCGTCACCGCCCGTCGTCTGGGCTAGTGCGGCGGTCTGGCGGATATGCTGTCGCCGTCGCCGCCCCGTCGCCGCCTCGTCGCCGCCCGTCGCCGCTGTTGGATTGCACCACTTAGAGTGTCTTTCCCAACAAGGGGAGGATCTACCATCTCCACCCTCCCGGGCTTGACCGGTACACCGGGGGGGTGCACATTTTCCATATGATTCTGCCCCGTCGTTCATTGCAACTAGAAATTCACACAGTCTCAGTTAGGCTGGGTTCACCCCCGCATCATCCTCGTCAAATAATGCTATGTGCGCACTCGTTTATCACAAATCATCAATTTTCAAGGTCCCCTTGCAAAACACTGGACACAGTCCACGTGTGCTCCTCCCCCTCATCCTCCCCCTTCTCCTCTTTTTCCGTCGGAGGGTGGGGAGAAGGAGAGGGCGGGGAGGAAAAGGCCGATGAGGAGGAGGAAGAGGAGGAAGAGGAAGAGGAAGAGGAGGAGGTGGAGGAGGAGGAGGACGAGGAGGAGGAAGACGGGGACGATGTAGGGAAGTAGGGGGAGGAGGAGGATGAGGAGGAGGAAGGGAAGTATGAGGAGGTTAATGAGGAGGAGGATGCGGAGGAGGAGGTGGAGGAGGAGGAGGAGGACCAGTGTAAACCCAACAGCCATCAACGAGGCCGGAATCAATCCTCCCTCCAAAATACCCGTTCATAGGCCCCTGTAACGTCTTATTGTAGTGGCCTTCGGCCAGTGCCGCCGATCCGGGTCGCTCGGATACACATATTACGCGGACACCTCACGCGCGCACACGACCAAATGCACATACGGCAGACACACATACAGAGACACACTAGGCGCACGCCAGACACTAGCACGCACAGACATTCGCAGACACGCACCACACACAGACACTCGCACAGGAGCCTGTCAGGGCGTCGAGGGGGCTTCTTGGGGGCTTTTGGGGGCCCTCTTGGGGGCTCTTGGGGCCTCCTGGGGGCCTCGTGGGCTGGAAGGCTAGATTTTTCCGCTTTTCGTCCCTCTTTTGGGTCCTCTTGGGGCCGTCTTGGGGGCCTCTTGGGCCGTCTTGGGTAGCTTTTGGGCCGCCTTGGGGCCCTCTTGGGCCGTCTTGGGACTGTCTGGGGGCCTCCTGGGCCGTCTTCGAGCGGTCTTGGGGGCCTCTTGGGCCGTCTTGGAGCGTCGGAAAGCCGAAAAAAGCGACAACCCCAAAAACATGAAAAAATACAATGGATTTTTGCCTCTGGGGGCCCTCGTGGGAGGCCTCTTGGAGGCCTCTTCAGACGTCTTGGAAGGCTCTTGGGCCGCCTTGGGGCCATCTTGGGCGTGTTCGGGCGATCTTTCCGGGTCTCGGGACTTTCGTAGACCGTCCTAAGAGACTTTTGCGGCCGCGGCCACCCTTGTAGCGCATCCTCGAGATTAGAGCCTTCTGTAAAAGCAGCCACCCCGCATCCGCTGGAAACTCGCACCCCCCCCCCCTCCCCATCCCCCCTTCCCCGGCAGAGCCACCCCGGACCCCCCCCCAGAGGCTGAGGCTCAGCCTCGAGGCTGTAGCTGAGACTCCTTGAAACTCACACGCCGGATCGGCGGATTTTCACTGAAGGAATTGCTTCGTTGGAAGATATCCGTTTGATGACCCTGAAGCATGCCAAAACATTGTTCTCGGGATTCCAACGCCACGGATCAACTTGACCATTGCGTCTTTACGGTCTTGAATATTGTCAGAACGCTATTCCTGGGACTTCAACACCGCGAATCAACGTAACTGTTGAACCTTCATAATCCTGAGTCCTTCCAAAACTTCATTCCCTACCTAGGCTCTGCCTAGAAGGGCTCTTACTCGGTATGCTTAAAGGGCCGGGCAGTGGAACCCGCCCCGGGCGGTTCCCCCAGGATCCGCTCCGCGGTTCCCCCAGTTGCGCCCCCTGGGTTCACCCAGCTTAGCTTAGCTTAGCTTAGCTTATCTCATCTTCGCTGAGCTTAGCTTAGCTTTGCCTAGCCTAGCCTAGCTTAGCCTAGCTTAGCTTAGCTTAGCTTATCTCATCTTAGCTTAGCTTAGCTTAGCTCAGCTTAGCTTAGCTTAGCTTAGCTTGGCTTAGCTTAGCTTAACTTAGCCTAGCCTAGCCTAGCCTAGCCTAGCTTAGCTTAGCGCAGCGCAGCGCAGCGCAGCATTAGCACAGCATAGCATCGCATAGCATAGCCAATCAAAACATATGTTAGCATAGCATAGCTCAGCATATCACAGCATAGCATAGCATATCATAGCGCAGCATAACATAGCATAGCATTGCTTAACATAGCACAGCGCAGCATATCATAGCATAGCGCAGCATAGCATAGCATAGCACAACATAGCGCAGCATAGCATATCCTAGCATATCATAGCATAGCGTAGCGCAGCATAGCATATCATATCATCGCCTGGCATATCATCGCATATCATAGCATAGCGCAGCATAGCATAGCATAGCAACGCATGGCATAACATAGCGCAGCGCAGCATAGCATAGCATCGCCTAGCATAACACAGCGCAACCGAGCGTACCCTTGTAAAACATAGCATAGCATAGCGCAGCATAGCAAAGCATATCAAAGCATAGCATAGCATAGCATAGCGCAGCATAGCACATCATAGGATAGCATACCAGCAAAGCAAAGGCAAATCACCAGCAGCAACAGCAAAGCAAAGCACAAGCAACGCAAAGCTGGACCTGCAGTGCAGATGTATATGTAGATGTAGGTGTAGATGTAGGTGTAGATGTAGATGTAGCTGTGAGCTTCGCTGTTGATGTTGATGTAGATGTAGATACAGGTGCAGATGTAAATGTAGCTGTCGGTGTAGATGTAGATGATGCTTTCCTAAATGCTCCAACTCCTAGGTAGGGTCGCACTGGGATAATTTCTGATACGTTGATCGTGGGAAGCCGTGGAACTTTTGCAAATTAAAAAAAACGAATGTGCGCGGTGCTAAAGCGACAGCCACATGTTGAAAAGGAGCCGCCCTCAATCCGTTAGACTCTTGCAATTTTGCGCAACGAATATGTGCAGCGCTCAGGCGAGAGCCACATTTTGAAACCGACCCGCCCTCAACTCGTGAAGCATTTGCAATTTGTTCAAACGTCTGTGCGCGGCGCTAAGGCGAGAGCTACATTTTGAAAACGACCCGCCCTCAATCCGTGATGCTTCTGCAGCTGTTCAAAACGAAAGAGCGCGGTGCTAAGGCGAGAGCCGCATTTTGAAAAACGACCCGCCCTCCATTTGTGAAACGGTTGCCAACGTTTAAGCTTCAGGGACATACACGGTGAGGAAGTCTCAGGCGAACCCCCCAGTCCGCCCTAAAAACTGGATTCGGGGTGCCACAGGGAACAGTTGTTTGTTGTTTGTATGATTAAAAGGACTGGAGGAGGATGGGGGAGAAGGAGGAGGAGGAGGGAGAGGAGGAGGAGGAGGAGGAGGAGGAGGAAGAGGAGGAGGAGAAGAAGGAGGAAGAGGAGGAGGAGGAGGGAGGAGGGGGGGCGGCGGATAGGAGGAGGAAGGCGAAGAGGAGTTTGGGGAGGAGCGGGGGACGGGGGAGGAGGCGGGGGAGGATGAGGGCGAGGAGGAGTTCGAGGAGGAAGGGGAGGCGGGGGAACGGGGGGCAGAGGGAGGAGGACCTCGTCCAACCCCCTCTCGGCCCCCTGGCGGCAAGGCAGCGCCCGGAAGGCCGGGTCCGTGGCGTGCGGTGCCGAGGGCGCGCCCAAGGTGCCCAAGACGCCGGAAGGCGGGGTCCTTTCAGGGGAGAGGGGGAGGGAGGACGGAGGAGGGAGGAGGGGGGGAAAAGGAGGGAGGAATGGATGATGGAGGAGGGAGGAAAAAGGAGGGAGGAGGGAAAAGGGAGCAAGGAGGAGGGGGAGGAGGGGGGATGAGGGAGGAGTGAGGGGGAGGAGGAGGGAGGAGGGAGGAGGGAGGGAAGGAAGGAAGAGGGAGGAGGAGGGAGGAGGGATGATGATGGATGAGGGGGGAGGAGGAGGGAGGGAGGAGAGAGGAGGAGGGAGGAGGAGGAGGGAGGAGGAGGAGGAGGGAGGAGGAGGAGGAGAGGAGGAGGGAGGAGGAGGAGGAGAGGAGGAGAGGAGGAGGAGGGAGGAGGAGGAGGAGGAGGAGGAGGAGGAGGAGGAGGAGAGAGGAGGAGGAGGAGGAGGAGAAGGAGGAGAGAGGAGGAGGAGGAGCAGAGAGGAGGAGGAGGAGGAGAGGAGGATGAGGAGGAGGAGGAGGATGGGGCAGCAGGAGGAGGAGGAGGAGGAGGAGGAGGAGGAGGAGGAGGAGGAGGAGGAGGAGGAGGAGGAGGAGGAGGAGGAGGAGGAGGAGGAGAGGAGGAGGAGGAGGAGGAGGAGGAGGGGGGAGGAGGAGCAGATTCAGAGGAGGAAAAGGTACCGATGCCGCTACCCTGGGCTTGTTTTCCCCTTTGTGGGTCTCCTCGGAGGCCCCCGTCGCCACGACTGGATCCACCTCGAAATTGTGGTCAGAACGCATCCTGGGAGAAACAACGGGAGCCTCGGTATCGTATTAGTTTGTTTCCTCAGGAGGGGGAGGGGGATGATGATGTTGATGATGATGGTGATGATGATGCTGCTGCTGCTGCTGCTGCTGATGATGATGATGATGATGATGATGATGATGATGATGATGATGATGATGATGATGAGAAGGGGGAGGAGGAAGAGGGAGGAGGAGGAGGAGCAGGAGGGGGAGCAGGAGGAGGAGGAGGAGGAAGAAGAGGGACGAGGTGGAGGAGGAGAATGAGGAGGAGGAGGAGGAATACTCATCATACTTATGGTGCTGACACTCGTGTAAGCATTACCACCACTAACAAGAACACCAAGAACATGAATAAGTTTCAGATTAATCATAGCCTTATGATCCGCAATCACAACACCACGAACGCTAGTAATTATAACTACTAGTATAATATACTTGCCATGAAATAGTATCGATAACAGTATCTGTACTATGTAATGCTACTACTACCATCTACCAACATTAATCGTTTTACCAGGGTATTGATATTACTAGTAAGAACAGACTAGTAATGATACTACGAATGACAATCATGGAAATTCGACTACGAGCAATACGACTAATATTAACAATACTGATCATATTACGAGTGCGAGTTTTAATGATCATGCGACACATATTATTAAGAAGCTATTCTACCAGTAATAACAACAAGTATGTGACATGATGCTACAGATAGTAGTAATTTTCAACAATCGTAAAACCAAGAGGAGACGACGGCGACGGCGGCGGCGCCGACGACGTCCGCAACGACGCCGCCGGAGATGACGAGGGGATTTAACTAGGACTACAAGGACAGCGCCGACCCAGACCTCCGAAGTATAGAACATACGGACCTGTTTAACCCGTGTTGGCAATTTCCCGTTTTCGGCTTTTGTGGACCCTCGCTTGGCGCCAGGAGCTTCAAAACCGATTCAGAAACAAAAGCCCGCCCTGGGCATTGGGTCGGGGCATTTGGGCACCACGTGCGGGAAAAATACGAAACCGGACGCTTGGGGACACGGTGCTTCCGAGGGGAAGAGGTACGGTACGGGAGGAGGAAGAGATTATCCAGGCGCGGCTGAAAGCGTGCAAGCGGGGCTGGCTACGCAGACAGACTCAGGCGAGAGCCTGACCAGAAAAACCTCGGGCACATCGCACACGGGAGTGCCGCTCGAGGAAGGGACAGGAGGCTAGCCCGACACGGCGCATTCGTCCTCGACCACGACCAGGGCCCCGTAGGTGGCGTCGAGGACATATTCGCCGAATGGGCGAGGCCTCAGCTGTCCCTGCACAGACGAGAGCAGCGGCTGCCCAGTACGCGGGTGCAGGCCCTCCCAGAGACGGTCTAAACGAGTGCGCGTCTTGGGGGGCACTCCACCGTGGCAAGGGAGCGCCAGGAGCTGCGCATTCTCGGAGGAGTGCGCACCACAGCGGGCGCTGAAGACGAACTGGCCAACGTGCCAGACGCGGTGGCCCCCTCCAGGGGCGCACACGGCTGGGATGAAGGCGTCCCGTTGCCGAGCGACGCGGAAGCACCTGGCGCACCTGAAGCCCGTGGGAGACGGCACGGGCAAATGGGCATCAGGGGGCGGTTCCGTGTCGGCCGTGAGGGTTGGTGTCGGCCCCCGTCGTCTGGCCCGCCGCACCGGCCCGGGCGCGGCGCCTGCTGCGACTTGGGGCCGACAGCCTGCATTGTCCTGGCAAGGTGTCCAGCTTAAAGGAGCGCTGCACACGCTGGCTGGCCTCGGCATCTTTGGGATGGAGGGAGGCGCCCGCACGGGCGCCGGCATCAGCGTGGCGGTCCCCCCATCTCGCGACAGCACCCAGCTCCTGCTCGTCATCGTGGCGGCGGCGGGCATGGCTTTTCACCTTCCGCACTTCCCCCCCCCCCAAGGTAACCCACGCGATCTCATATCTGAGACCACACGTCAGCGCCCTCGCACATGGCGCCCGTGGTCTCGAACCGCCCACGCTGGAAGCTTGAGACCACCCAATCGCAGTTCGAATGGTAGCGAAAGGGGCCCAGCCCAGCGCGCGAGAGAAACATGAGCAGGCCATATGCCTCGGCCAGGTCCGACGCCTGGTGCGGGCCAGGCAGCAGGCCGCACAGGGACGCCACGAGGCCCCCACTGTCGTCGACCTGCACGACGCACCAGCCCGCGCGTAGGAGACGCATGCCGCCCTGTACAAGCGACACGCACGAGCCGTCGCCGAAGGCCTCGCCTTCGACCGCCCAGCGGACGCACGAGCCAGCGGACGAGCAGGGAGGAGGAGGGGCCGACCACCCAGGGCCGAGGGTCGGGGACAAGGCCGTGCCTCCAAAGGGCCCAGTCGGGGTGCCCACGGAGGCCCTCACGGACAGAGGGTGGGAGGTCATAGTCCCGCACATATTGCCAGGTGGCCGAGCACTCACCCGCAATCCAGGCGGCGAGGGTGCCAGGACAACAGCCACACAGGGGGCACGACGGATCGGTCGTCAGACCGTGCTTGTCCTTGCGAGCCTGTTCCCAAATACCATTCGCTGCAATCGCTCGGAGACTGGCCCGATGCTGGATGTTCCAGTCAGGCCCGCACGCTCTATTGCACAGCTTGCGGATGGGTGGCAAGTGCGGCCCACGTGAGAGGCTCGACATGCAGTCGCAGCCCTGGTGGGCACGATCCATCAGCCAATCCTCGATTGCGAGGCGAGCAACGTGCAGCGCAGAGCGAGGGCACATACTAGGGATATCAATATTATCACCATCCTGAGTTGAAAGCGCGCACACTCCTGGTCCGAGCCCCCAACCTATGCGACGGCAGCTGGCGACGGCAACAGAAATCTGACCTTTGACCAGGGGCCAGTCGCTTTTGGAGGGGTCGGCCATGAAAGCGGCCTCAGAGGTGAACATCAACCGAGCAATCGAATCCCGAGGTATCCACGAGGACCAAATCGCCTGGGCAAGCATGTGAATGGGCCCCGCAGCGCAAGCGTAGGCGGGGCCCACGGTCCACGGAGAGGCGGGGGAGAGGTGGAGGTCGACATCGAGGGAGCAACGGGCTGTGTGCACATGCAATGCGGAGCGCGCTTCACGTCTCATCGGTTCGATGCCGCTCCAAGCCCTCCCCGTCGCCCCCACTCACCAGGTGCCCGCTGGGGCCAGTCCGAGGCTGACCAGCTGGCGCGTCTTGCCGCGCGCAGCGCGGATCACGCGAATGCGCGCGGCACGGCGTAGCGCGGTAGCAGTGCTTTTGGCCCGCGCGCCCACTCCAGCCCGGCGCCCGCCGGCGAAATCCACGCCCAGGTTGCGCGCCGAGGTCCTGAACTTGCCGCGGAGGGGGCGGCGTCGCCGCGTGACCTCGCGGCCGCAGGCAGACGCGTTGGCCAGCACCACGCCCTTGCCGTCGTCGGCGACAAGCCCGTCCGCCGCCAGGGCACCTCGAATCCGTTTGTTGGCCGAGCTGACGTTCGCCGCCACCGGCCTGAGGTGTCCGACCCTGCCGAGCTGGATGTCGTCCGCGGTGTTCCCCAGGTCCGCGTCGCCGAGGGCCACTATCTCGTCGAGCCGCGGCACAAAGAAGATGCGCATGCAGAGGTCCGCGAAGCGGCAGCCTGCCACCGCGCCCCGCTCCGGGACGCACCAGCCCACCGCCGCGCCGTCCACGGTGACGATACTCGGCAGGGCGTGGAGCCTGATGAGCAGCCGCATCAGCATCGTGTCGACGCCCAGCGCACGGGCTCGGACGACCAGCAGCGCCCGCGGGATGTGCTCGCACGCCTTGGAGGGGTCCATGAGCAAGGAGCAGGCCGCCTGCTTGCGGTGAGTCGCGACCTCAGCATTGGCCGCCTGGATCCGCGCGCACGTCTCTCAGCTGCGACCCGATGTGCCGTAGATGTAGTCCCACTGGTGGGCGCTGGCCCAGCGCGCGCCGACTGTGCCGCGCGCCCAGCGTGCGAAGCGGCGCAGCACTCCCGCGAAGAGCCCGATGGCACGGACTCGCGACTCGGCCTTTGGGATCAGCGCCACCTGCGGAACCGCCAGCGTCTCGGGGACATAGCCGAGGGCCAGCATGTGTCTCCAGACGGTGGCGAAGGCCTCCAGCTCGCAGTCGGACAGGAAGGTGACGCGCCGAGGGTGGAATGCATCACCTCCCAGCCCCGTGACGCGCGGGAAGGAGTGGACCACCTTGCGCAGCTCGTTGGGCGTCGGCAGCGGAGGGCCGTCGCCCAACTCCGCTGGCCAGCTGACGGCGTCCAGCCCAACACCCTCGCCCCACAGGGGGTGCCGTGGGCGGATGGCCGCGCTGGCAGCCTCCCGCACAGTCTGCAGGCCCACCGCAGGCGACCAACGGGCACCTGCCCATGGGTCGGGCTCGCGAATCCAGCGGGAAGCCCTGCGCAGGCCCTCGGCGGCAGTGGCGTCGCGCGTCCAGTCGAGCCAGGACCGATAACGCTTGTGCGACGCGCGTCCTGCCGCCGCCAAGGCCTGTCGTCGAAGCAGGGCCAGCAGCTCATCACATTCATCTTCAGGAAGACGGTGTAGACGCCTCGCCAGCCGCCGCCATGCGCGCCACGCCGCAGGTTCGCCGCCAGGGACGGGCGGCTTGGAGCGCGGGAGCTTCACCTGAAGGCGCCGCGCATGGGCGGCCTGCCCCGCCGCCTGCAGCAGCCGCCACTCCTGCGCCCGGTCGCCCAGCCAGCCCCAATGTGCATCCGATTGGGTCTGGCGTAGAGCGTAGAAGTGGGTTGCCAGCTGCTGGAGCGGTGGCAGCCCAGCTGGGTCTGGACGAGGCGCAGGCCCTCGCTCCTGCCGCAGAACCTGCTTGCCTTGCGGGCGCCCTCCAGGTCGAGGTGCCGCAGCAGCTCGTCTTCGTATGTGTCCAGGACCCTGCCACAGGCTGCCTCCAAGCTTGCTGCCGTGGCCACCGTGACCAGGTCGCCGTGGGCGTCGGTCCAACCAGGGCCTGGAAGCCGAGGCCCAATCAAGGCCTGGGCTGGGGAAGCTCGGGCCTCATGCACGCGCGTCGCCAGGCCGCCTGGCCTCGGCGAGGCCAGCTGCAGCAGCACCGCGCGGCGCGTCCGCACATCGACGCGGTCGCAACGGCTGGTGCCCTTGATGGGCGCGCCCGCGTCCACGCAGAAGTAGTCCGGCCCCCTCGCACATGTAGCCGCGATGCACGCGGCCTCCTCCGGACGGGCCAGGCGCGCGCCAGGCGCGGGAAGCAGGTGGGCCTCGCCCACGACCTCGGGCAGCATATTCCAGTCGGCCCCCACGACACAGGGGCGGTGCATGGCCCTGACGACCGAGCCCAAATTGGTAAGCAGGTCCAGGTTGAAGTCGCTCAGGTCCTGATTGGTGTAGAAATACGCCGAGATCAGCTAGGTGCCCGCATTCGAACCCAACGATGTCATCAAAAAACCCAAGCGGGCAGAACAATGCATCGAAATGCGGTCGTCATTGAATTCGACGCGCTTCATGCGCACCCACGGGCGTATCAACATTCCAATTCATTCCTGAGGATACTCACCTTTGTCCGTCGAAATCGCGGGGACGAGCCGTAGGTCATCGAACAGGCGATGCTCCTGAATGGGGATGGCCTGCACCTCGTCGTCAACGTTGCCCTGCTCCAGCTGTGCCAGGCAGGCGCCCCAGCACGTGGCATACACCGTCATGGCGGCCAGGGCGCCGCCATCGCCCTTGCAGCTGCGCGGCCGCAGAGACGCCGAGTGCCTCGGCCCAGCGCCCACCGCTGCTGGGCAGTCGGGTCCACGCCGCACGCAGAGGGGCTCGCCGACCGACGGGTCAGCGCCCCCCCCCCCAAGGGAGGGGCATTCCGTCACCCACAGCGTTGGCCACCGCTGGGCAGTTTGGGTCCACGCCTCACGTAGAAGGACGCACCGACCGACGGGTCCACGCCTCCCGTAGGGAGGGACTCACCGTCACCGAGGGTATCCGAGGGCCCAGCGCAGCGCCCAGCAGCTGACGCTCCCTGCCCATTATCTCCCTTCGGGGGGCCGGCCTCCCGAGGCGGCTCAACCTCCAAGAGGGCCACGCGCCGCGGGAACCCCGAGGCGGCTCGACCTCCGAAGAGGGCCACGCGCTGCGGGGATGAGAAGATGGGCAGGGGTCTGCCCAAGCAGATGCCGACGAGCGGGACGTTGACACAGAAGAGCTCGCACATGGCCCTGGCCCTCTTCGTTGCCCCCCTCGCATCGACAGCTGGCGAGGGGGGCCGAGGGGGGGCGACCTCGTGGTAGATGGCCAGTCGACGTCGTAGCACTCCCCCGAGTAGCCGAAACCCGACATGTTGCCCTAGTTGTAGTCGTCGCTGCAGCTGGCCTCGCGCTCCCTTGAGTACCCGCCCAGCCCGTGGTAGTTCATGTGGTTGTAGCCGCAGCCGTCGTCCAGGGACTCCCGATCCCTGATCATGCCCGCCGCGTGCTTCGCGAGGAGCATGGCAGGCACCGTCGCCCGACGACGGAGGCCTCGCCGAGTGCGGCGCGCCTGCGGCGCCCGCAGCTCAGGCCGGGGTGCCGCCGCCGCCGCGCCCGAGGCCTTTGGCGCCAGCCGCGGGGGGCCTGACTGGCCTGGCGGGCTGCCCGCGGCCTTCCCCGCTGCTGCCAGTCGAGCCCGGCCCTGCTCCATGACGTCAGGGGCAGGCGTTGGCGTGGCGGCCGTGCTGGGGGCCGACTGCGCCGCCGCCGCTGGCGCCCGTGGCGTCGCGGCGGCGGCTGGCGGGGGTGCCCGCGCCGCCGCGGGCGCTTGTGGCGTCGCGGCGGCGGCTGCAGCCATTGCTGCAGGTGCCCGCTCGGCAGCAGCGCCTCCGTCCTCGGTGGCCTTCGCGGTCTTGCGCTTCTTCGTCCTGAGGCGGTCCCGCCGCGCTCGGTGCGCCTCCTCGAGCTCCTGTGCGGAGGCCTTGAACTGGCCGAAGGCCTCGCGCGCCATGCTGCCGACGTCGTCCTGCAGCTCCTGTCGGCGCCTCTGAGCCTCCTGGCGGTCGCTCTCCTCGACCTCGAAGCCGTCCAGCTCCTCCAAGCCGAAGAGGCCTTCGTCGTCCAGCGTCCAAGCCGTCTCGCCAGCCATGACAGCGGAGATGCTGAGGCGCGGCACGGCGGCGGCGTCTGGCGAGGGCTGGGGCGCCACAGACGTAGCCAACGCATGCATCGCAGCCGTGTGCGCCTGGGTGGCGCGATCGAGGACCTCGGAGCGCTCGCCCACGCGGGCCATGGCCTCGTCCAGCTGCCGACGCAGTTCCTCAGCCTCCAGCATGTCTTCCTGGAGCGCCTCCGCCGCTGCCTCCTTGGCCTTACACATGCTTCGTCCACGGACAAGGGCCTGGCCACGCGTTGAGCCCTGACCTCATCCAGCTTCGCTTGGTACTTGGAGACCTCGGGCCCGTCGCCGCTGAGGCAGAGCAGCTCCACCAGCTGGACCAGCTTTGACTCCTCTGGGTCCTTGTCCGCTGGCACGAGGGCGAGGGCGCGGGAGAAGCGCACTCGGTGGCTGCCTGCGCCTCGGTTCCCAGACGCCGAGCGTGCGCTGGCCGAGGCACCGCCTGTCACCTCGCGCCAGGGTGGGCAGCCGCGACCGCCGTCACGGTCGCGGCTCGGTGGGCGTCTCTGGACGCGATGTGCGCCGCCGCCGCCACCACCAGCAGGACGAGCCTGGACGAGGACCAGCGGCTTCTTGCAGTGGCCGCACCAGGTCCACCACTCCTCGTTCTTGCGGCAGCCGCACTGCTGGCACGCCAAAGGGCGTGGTGCACCCCCGCGCCCCGCCTGTGCCCCTGCTGCCGCGTGCATCGGTGGCGCGCTGCCGTGATGCGCGGCGAGACGCGCGACGTCGCGCTGATGTTGGGGTCGCCCCCGCGCCTGCGAACGCAGTCGGCGCAGGCGGCGGTGCCACGTTGGCGACCTCGACCGCCCCCTGCAGTCGGAGTCCGCCGTCGGTCGCGCCCGCCCCTCAGGCGGCGCTGGGGGCTATCGCGCGCGGGCCCCCCTGCCCGCCGCGGGGCAAAACGGCTTGAGCCAAAATGGCTTGAGCCAAAATGGCCACGGAGAGGAGGAGGAGGAGGAGGAGGAGGAGGAGGAGGAGGAGGAGGAGGAGGAGGAGGAGGAGTTGAGCGAGGAGGAGTTGAGCGAGGAGAAGAGCAAGAAGGAGGAGGAGGAGGAAGAGGAGGAGGAATGGAGAGAAGGAGGAGGGGGAGGAGGAGAAGGAGGGCGATGCTAGCAGCATCAACGACGACGGCGAGCGATGAGAGCCCCTGGGGCCCAGGACTTCGTGAGTGCAGCGCTCGCCAACCGGATTCCGATGGCATCCAGGGGTGCCCTCTTCCCTGGAACCCACTCCTCCATCTTCCCTGATCCTTCTCCTTATCTCTCCGTCCATCCTCCCTCCACCGTCCTTCATTCCCCCTGCTTCTTTCTCCCTGCTGCGTCCCTCCTCCCTCCTCTCGCTCCGTCCCCATCCTCCTGCTTCTGTCTCCTCCATCCTCGTCCCGCCTCGTCCTTCCTCCCCTCCTCTTCTTCTTTCTACTTCTCTTCACTGCCATTTCCCATGTTCTGCCAAGTTCCATGTTCCTCTCATTTCACTCTTCCGCCCACCGGGGAGGCTGAGATGCGGAAGTGGAGGATGAGGAGGCATGTTGGGAGCGCAATTCCTCGTTCACCCCTCCTTCTTCTTTCCTCCCTGCTGCTGCCCCTCCTCCTCCGCATGATCCCAGTATCTCCACCTATTTCTCCTGTTCCTCCGACCTCTTCCTCGCTCTCCCACTGCTCACCGTGCTCCTGCTACTTCTTTTCCTCCTGCTTCTCCTGCTCCTCCTTCTTAGTGACTGTAGGGTCAGGGGCTATTGCTTAGTGTGTCGCGCCGCTGGCTCTGGCCCACCACGCCACGGCGCGACACGCTATCCACGCCCCCGACGTCGAGCGTCAACGTCCTGAGCCTTTCCAAGCCTCCCGCCCCGCGGAGCGGAGGGAGACGCTTTCCGCTCGCAGTGGATGGCATGTCGTTGGGGCTGCCGCCGCGACACGCCGAGCAACAGTTCCCGACCCTATCGCTCCACTGCCCGCCTTCCAGCCAGAGCCCCGGCGCGAGAGGCGGCTGCCTCTGCTTCGTGGTGTGCACGGGTTTCTCGTCCTCCCAGGGCGAGCTGCTCCAGATGATCGAGTTCTCACAGGAGGGGAAGGGGGAGCAAAGGGATGGAGGAGGAGCTTCGAGAGGGGAACGGGTGCCGATGTCGCTGCCCATCGCCGCGGCCGGGTTCTCCCCGGATGTTCTTCGTGTTCTTCGTGTTTGCCCATGTTGTTGTGTATCCCGGGCGAGGGCACCCTCGACTGCTCTTCATGTTGGCCGGCGGCGGCTCTCATGTTCTTGAAGGATGTAGGTCCGACTGCACTCCCGCCCCGCCCTTCTCCTCCTCCTATCCATTCTGCTTCTACCCTGCCCTCTTCCTCGTTGCACTCCTCTTGTTTCTCCTCAATATCCTCCGGTTGGCGCCCCGAATTTCCTGCCGTTGGCGTTGGCGAGAGGCGGGAAGAATGTTGATTACGAGGAGGGCGGGATCAGAACAACGCGGGATGAATCTCATGTTGTGTTCTCTCGCTATCTTCCTATGTATATAGATACACTTGTATGTATGTATGTATGTATGCATGCATGCATGCATGTATGTATGTATGTATGTGTGTATGTTTGTATGTATGTATATGTATATGTATATGTTTGTGTGTGTATGTATATGTATGTATGCATGTATGTATGTATGTATGTATGTATGTATGTATGTATGTATGTATGTATATATGTATGTATGTATGTATGTATGTATGTATGTATGTATGTATGTATGTATGTATGTATGTACGTGTGTGTATGTATGTATGTATGTATGTATGTGTGTGTATGTATGTATGTATGTATGTATGTATGTATGGATGGATCTATATATATATATCTATCTATATAGCTATATATCTATCTATCTATCTATCTATCTATATATATATATATCTATCTATATATATCTATATATATATCTATCTATCTATCTATCTATCTATCTATCTATCTATCTATATATCTATCTATATATCCATGTATGCATGCATGTATGTATGTATGTATGTATGTATGCATGCATGCATGCATATTTACACACACATCTTCGAGCATTATGATAGGGGACCCCCCGTACATCAATTCGGCCCTGGACGCTCACACCGCCCAGGCGGGCCCAAGATCGCTTCCCGCACGGTCCCACGGAACACCGGAACAGCCCAAGACCGCTTCAAGAACATCCCGAGAAGGGCCTGAGAGCGCCCAAGAGGCCCCGAGGCGCCCCAATACGGCCTCAAGACGGCTCGCAAGGCTTCCCCAGGCGCCCCAAGAGGCTCCCAAGAGGACCCCCGAGAGGGCTTGAGGAGGCGAAGTTTTTGAGGTTCCCGCCTTCTCGGGTAAAAAGCGGCCCGAGACGGTTCTGACTGCCTGCGAGATCGCAACAAGACGGCCCAGGAGGCCCCCCAACCTAGCACGGCCCTAGAAGGCCTCAGAAGGCCCCCAAGGGGGCCCCCAGTAGAGCCACAAGACGGCCGAAGCCCTGCAGGACAGCCCCGAAAGGCCCCAGGACGGCTCAAGAGGGCTGGAGTACTGCTCAAACGGGCTCCAAGAGGACCCGACGAAGGCCCAGAGAGGCCAAACACGTGCATTTCCGAGGCCTCCAGGAGGCTTGCCAGAGGCCTCCAAGTACACTTGCTCGGGTGTTCGGATGAGGTGTGCGGGTGTAAGTGTTTTGGAGTTATGGTATTCAGGTTCTGGTATTAGGACTCGGGTGTCCGGGTCATGGTGCTCGGGTTGGGGTGTTCGGGCTTCTGTGGTTGAGTTCGGGTTGGGATGTCAGAGTTAACGTGTACGCTACGGTGTGAGGGTTCTGGCGTTCAGGTTGGGGTGTTCGGCCCCACGAGAGCCTTACGATGTTCCCCAAGAGGGTTCCAGATGCCAGAATTAATATATGTTCGTCAAGTTTTTGATGCATGTCAACGTGCTCGCTGGACGAAAGCGGCTCCTCAGGAGTCCCCAAAACGGCCCAAGCAGATCTCCAGACTGCCCCAAAGGCTCCGCAAGACGCCTCAATTGGCCCCAACGAAGAATGAAACGAATGGACATTTCGAGCCCTACCCCCACATATGGTCCTGGACACTGCCACGGAGCCCCCAAGACGCCAGGCCCTCAGAAGCCTCCAAGAGGCCCCCATGACGCCATCAAAGCTCCCGACACGCTCTCAAGAGCCCCTCTTCCGGAAACCCCTCAAACCCAATCACCCTTATGAGCTTGATGCGCCATATGACCCTGTGTTCCGATCGACTTCGTTAACCTCACAAACCCCCACGAACCTCATGATCCTGATGATCCCGATGAGCCTTACGACACCTACGAACCCAATGCGCCATACGAACCCCATGAGCCTCATGAGGCCTATGAGCCCTACGCGCCCTCCAAGAGGCCCCCGAGGCCCTCCCCTCTGAGCCCTATGAGCCCCATAAGCCCTACGAGCCCATGAGCCCAATGAGCTCCGGAGCCCCACTACACTTATGAGCCCGGCGACCCTTACGAGCCCTTCGAGCCCTACGAATCTTACGACCCGTTTCAGCGCCACGAGCCCTCCACCCCAGCCCTATTTGCCTTATGAGCCCCACGACCTCTGTGTACCACATCAGCTCACGAACCCAATACCGTAGCCATTTGGGCTCAAGCCATTTTGGCTCAAGGCGTCCCATTCGAAGTTAGGCCTCATTCATTAGCCGTGCGCCAAAGCACGCTTCGTTTAGGCATTCTGCCACCGCTGCTTCTCACCATCCCCCGCACCACGCCAGTGTGTCCTCGACTGGCCACGCCGATGGGACCTCGCGCTGCTGAGAAGAATTCTTGCTGCCGTGTTGCAAGGAGCTCAAGCAGTCCATCGCGAAGCTCGAGCCCGGCTTCGGCGCATCGCCAACTCCCACGAGCACCTGCTCATCGTTTCGACAGCAGCGATGATGGCGCTGGCCTTAGCCGCAGTGGACGCGAGAGCCGACCACCACCATCCAGGACACCATCGTGGATAACAGAGATTATCCAGACCGTCAGAGGCACGATTTTCTGGCGCTGCTCGGGTTCCCCAGGCCGCCGTTGCTCCAAAAACTGAAGGATGTAGGTGCCGCGCGTGTCTCGGCCTTTGCCAGCCCTGCTGATCAGCCCGGAATCCTCGTTTTTGCTTCCGGTCCTTCGTAGAATGTCACGCCGTTGTTTGAAAACGCGAATGTTGCCAGTTCTTTCCTAGACAACTTCTCGAGGAGCGGCGGCGCGTGGAGCGCGCCCGACCCCCTAAATCTCGCCGCGCCTCTCACTCCTCGTCTGCGGCGCGACCTCGACTTCAGCGCCCGCCAATTGTCTTTTATCGCGGGGGCGTGCCCGAGCGCGTCTCAGCGAGCTCCTCGCCCTGAAAGGCCTCGAGGTTTGGGGCCTGGGGATCGGCGGATCGGCGCGCGTCCTGCGCGGTCCGCGCGACCCTGTCTCAGCAGTTGAGGCGCAGGTCAACGATGACTGTTCAGTTTAATTCGCCTGCGATCGCGATGTGTTTGTTGAGTTTGGCATTCAAGAGCACATCCTATCAGTGGGGCAGGCAGGGGCGGTCCTTCTTAGCCGTCTCTTTTCGCGCTGAGGCTGACTGCGCTACAGGGCAGGCTCCGCATTCACCGTCTCTCTGTTTCTCCCCCCCCCCGCTCCTTCTCCGTTTGCACGTGGAACTCGGAGGCCTTCGTCGCGCCGGTCAAGGCGGATTCGACGCGGGCCCGGACGAGATATGCACAGAAAGTGAAGCTTTGCAGCGCATGCGACATTATTGCAGCACGAGGAACGCCCGGCCACGAGGGCGATGTAGCCGAACTTCAGCGCCAGCTTCCTGGACATGAATTTGGGCACGCGTTTACGCTGACTCTATATGCGGGTGGGCGGGGTCGTCGCCGCGGCGTCCTCGCAGCCCGCCTCTCTCTCTCTCTCTCTCTTTCTCTCTCTCTCTTCGCTATCGAGCATGCGCCTTTGGTCGCTGGGGGGATTCTGAAGAGCATGATCCGCGGGTCTCTGGGCAATCTGATTGTCCACGACCCCCGCTTGCCCGACGCCTCCGATTCCATTGCGCTCTTCTCCGGCGTTCTGAAGATTATTCATCGTGATTTTATGTGCCACCAGCCCGGCGGCGCAGAATTCGAGGCACACGCCTGGCGCGCCCCTGGGCGAATGGAATTTCGTTCGCGAGGAGAAGGGGAGGCATGCTAGGGGCGGGGGTGAATTCGCTGTTGGAGATGCCGCGCAGCCGCGCTGCTTCCGACGCTTCCCCCCCACCTCACGGAGCTGTTCCAAGACCTCGGCGCCCGAAGGGGAAGGAGGGGCAAAGTGGTCGACGAAACCACGCGCGTCGACCGAATTTACCCGTCGCTGCCGTCTGCCCTGGTCAGAGATTTCACGATTTCGATCTCGACGGCTGAGCCCCTGAAGTCCGCCGTGCCGCGTAACCATATTCGTGTTCGGGCTATGTTTGAGCGGCTTCGCCCCGGCCCTGGTCGCCCCCGCGCCCCTCCCTAGGTCGCTGGGGCGCCCGGGTTCGGTCAGGCACTGGAGGGGCCATTGAATGAGACCCCTGGGGGCTGGGGCGCCTGGGCCAAATTTTTGGTTGCCAATTGCCAAGGCTTTCTTCTTTGAGGCTGGGATGAGGGCCCGCGGGGCATTGCGGCGCCGGCAGGCGGACGGCCTGCAAGAGCAACATTCCTGGGCGCTCGCCGCCCGTCGTGCCCCGCAGACTGGCGACGCCGGTAGAGCGCGGCTGGCGCTTGGTTGCCACCCCCGCCTCCGCGCCCACGCCGACGCCAGCTATGCTTGCATTCGTTTTCATGGGCTGTCCCAGCACGTCTGTTGTCTACATCGCCGTATGCTGAATGGGGAAGAACGGGGGATTCCATCCTCGCGCGCAGGTGAAGATGTTAAACGTTTCATGGCTGCTCGCCTCCGCCGCCGCAAGCTCCTCCGGCAAGCGTTTTTCAAGCGGATCGTCTCGGGCGCCGTTGAGACCTCAGATGGCTCCCCAACTGGCTCCTCTGAAGAAGCTGCTCTGCTTCTCGCTGATTGCCGGGCCCCCGCGCTTGCCGCCCCCGACGTGGGCCCCACCCGACGGGGCGACGTCGCCCCTCGCATCGAGGCCCTCGACGGCCGTGTTAGCCATGAGTGGCGCCTGGGATCTCCCCTGCTGGCGTACGTTGGTTTTGGGGCGGTGCCCGCAGCGCCCCTGGGCATCACAGTTTCCGGCCAGCTACACCGGTGGCCCCTCCAGAAGAGCGCCAAGCATCGCACGTGGTTCGAGAAGTGCACCGCGCCGAATGACAAGTGTGAGCAATGCGCCGCGCCAAAGTACAAGTGCGACAGTTCAAAATAATCAGAGGTGTGAGGAACGCAAGCGACATGTATGAGTGTCTCATGAAGAACACATTTGGTTCGTATTTGTTTCACTTCGGATCTGGGCTTGTTTTTGTCCATATTTCCAATACCTTTTTCACAGTTCGGATCTGGATTGGTACGTGTTGCATACTTTTCCATACTTTTTTACACTTTGAATCTGGGTTGGTACTTGTTAATACTTTCCCCATACTTTCTTCACACATTGGGTCCCAGTTCGTACTGCACTTGTACTTGCAGTTTGTACTCAATTCACATTTGTACTTCCAGTTTGTACGCGTTTCACACTGAGTCGGTGCGGTCGTATGTTTTCCACTCGTACTTTCGTTACTTGCGAATGCCGTACTTTTTTTCCATACTTAAGCCATACTTTGCCGAAAGCTAGCGATCGACGACTGTAGCTGGCTAGGAAACTGTCAACCCTGGACCTGGGGGTATGCCCTATGCTGTATGGAAACATATGTGCGCATCACGTGTACTGTATTCATGTTACCTCTCTTTCTTCGATGGCAACCTCCACTCGTTCCCATATGACATGCTGTGCAGTTTGATGGTATTTCCCCCCGAGGACGCGGGTCCTTCCGACGTTCCAGGCCAGGCCCCAGTCCGCGAAGCCAGCGTCGCTTGCCCGCTCAGCTTGGGGAACGCAGATGTCAAGCTGACGGCCGCGGCTTGCATGTTGCCCGTCGTTGCGAACGCGGCCAGTCTTGTCAAGGCTGGCTCGTTTTCGCGTTATGTGCCCTGGACATATCGCCACACCTCATCCAGTTATTTGCCATGGTGTGCGCTACCACTACTGCTATCATCACTGTTGGGGTCAACGCTTTCAGTCCATTCGAATTTAATCTGGGCTTAAGCAGGGGTGCCCCGCCTCGATGTTCCTCTTTTCGCTTGCAGTACATTCATTACTTTCCTTGCTGGGGCACAGGAGCGCCGCGAATATTAGTTCATCTCTGGCCTATGCGAATGATTTTGGCTTTGGGGTGCTGATTGTGCTCACCGACCTAGACCCGTTCCTTACGGTACTGATGGAGCTTGAGCCCACTGCGAACCTTTGTTTGATTTTCAAGGCTTGCCAGATTGTATTATGCTGTGGCACCGACGCTGGGCGTCTTACTTCTGCGTTGGCGACGGTTGGTGCCCCCTACAGTCAACTGCGAGTCGCCCTTTGGGCCGCTCACATTGGGTGTCCGATTCCGATTGGGCCGAACGCGGCCTCTGGAGTGTGGCGGGCGGCTATTCCAGGGTACATCTCCAGGGTGCACCAGGCTCGTCTTTTCGGGCTAGGCATTGTACAATCAGCTACGGCATTCCGCGTGAAGTACGTCTCGAAGCTTCGCTTTCGGCTGCAGTTGTGCCCGCCCGATGCCGCTTTGAACCACCAGTTCCGCGAGAGCGTCATGCGGCTGACCTCTGGGCCGAGGAATGCGATCACATAATATCATCGCTACTAAGCTCAAGGCAATCGGCTTTAGCACTGAGACGCAGGGCCGCACATTTAAGTATGAGGCCGCTTTGAAGGGGAGCAAGCTTTGAAAATTGAGCACGGCGCCAGATGTTCAAGGCCCTCGGAATTCTTTTCTGGTGCGCTCGGCTTCAGCAGGTACCAGATACTGTGGTCTCCGAAGCGACTCGGGCTCCGCGAGCCAATCCGACAGGAGGCTCCGAATGACCTTCAATTTTGCGTTCCCGCATGGATCACCGGACTTGTGCGCGTGGCTTCCTCTTGCCTTTATCCTCCCCGTCCGCGTCGTCCGCCACCTGTCTTCTCCTATTCTCTTCCTTGGCGCGGGCCAGAGTTTATGCAGCCGGTGTGCTTGACAGACGGTCTTTGCGCCTGAGGCCGTGGAGGACGAAAACATCCGCCTCCTCTCCCTCTTCCCTCCTCCCCCTTCCTACCCCTTGCTCTTAGCAGCAGCACCATATTTTCCGACAGACCTGCCCGCCGGCCGAATGACCACTCCAAGCGGGCGCCGTGTGCCGTGCCCCTCCAGGCGGGTTCAGCGGGCGAGATTTCCGGCTCTGTCCTGAGGACGAGGGAGGAGGAGGAGGAGGAGGAGGAGGAGGAGGAGGAGGAGGAGGAGGAAGAGAAGGAGGAGGAGGGACTCAGATTTAGGCATCCATGGGCGAAGACAAGTTGATTTTTCCGACATTGATTCGCTGGGCGGCATACCTGTGTGGCTGCAACATAGTTTTCACGCTGGCACTGGTAGGAAAACCATCAGGCTTCCCCTGCAACCCGAAAGGGGTAACCACAGGGAGCAGGGGTGGCGGTTCAATTTACGAGGATGAGTAGGAGGAAGAGGAGGAGAAGGGTGAGGAGGAGGAAAATAGTAAAGCAACAGAGGGGGGGCAGAAGGAAAAGAAGGAAGGCTTCCTCACGTTCTCCTTCGCTCCGCTCCGTCGGCGCAGCGTTGCCCTATCATACACCGAGTTGTAGCCGTCCGCATGCCCTCGTCCGCCCATGGTCTGGCCCCATTTCTTCCGCTCGCAGCTCCTTCCTGCAGCACGGTTCGTGCCGCGTTCGCGGGGAAGCGGCGCATGGCCTGCAGGCGGGTTTGACCGAGAGGGGCGCGCGCGCAAGAAACGCGCTGTCGAGGAGAAGGTGTCCGGAGACACGAAGGAGACCCTCGTGGCTCTGCTGGTCCTGCTCTCGTTTGCGCTGGTGGCCGCCGGGTACGTGCTGAAGGAGCGGGTGATGGAGGGAGGAGGCCGATTGAATGCTGTCACAGTGGGCGTCTTGGGATCGTCCTTTCTTCTCCTCCCCTTCCTCCCCCCCCTCGTCCCCTCTTCCTTTTCCGCCCCCCTTCTACTTGGATCCGGGCGTCTGCCTGTCTGCATTAGAGGCGATGGGGGCAGTCGAGGCTTCTGGTCGGGAACTTCTGGATAGCGTGTCGCTCCGTCTGTTCTGGCCCACCACGCTTCAATGCGACACGCTATATCCGCTTCCCAGTCCCATGCTTCAGCGTGCCGAGCTTTTCCCGACCTCCTTACCCGCGGAGCGGAGCGACACGCTGTCCGCGTGCAGGCCATAGCGTTTCTCCAGGGAAGGCGCGTCGACACGCTAAGCAAAAGTTGCTGACCGCAGATGTCTCCCTCAAATAGTGCCACCACACACAGCCGAGCCAACAGGCCTGTCCCGTGAGAGTGGCCGAAATGCGGCCTACAAGCCTAGTGCCACATCCGGCCGCGGGTGCCATCGAAGAAGTCCGAGGGCGTTCGATTTGTTGGATGTCAGACCCGGGCGCCCAGTGTTGCTGCATCAAGATCAGCGCATCCGTGTGCTCAGAGCTGACGTCCAGACGGACAGTTGTAAAGTTCCGCGCAGCGTTTGGGTAACTATCACCAGCGAGGTCGGCAGGAAGATGGCGGGTGCGAGGCTCCACGGTGGACCTTGTCACCGAACGGTTTGAGCCCCCACCGCAATGGTCCTCACATCGAACAGTGCAGATAAGAGCAGGCAAACAAGTACACCGTCCAGTTCTGAGCCACGTCTTGGCCCGTGTGGATGGCTTGGTTCGCTAAACCATCTGCGGCCGCACTGAAGTATCGTCGAATGTGGTGTGAACCAGTGTACACCCAACCTTTCTGCGTTCGAGCTGCCGACGGCGAAAACGCGCCGCCGTGTGGGAAGGTTGAGAACTGCGCTTTGGACAGGTTGTCAGCTGAGTCGAGGCTTATTGACGGCAGAGGCAAGGATAGTGCATTCGGGTGAGTCGGGCGCGGCGCGGACAGACGGAGCGAGGGAATTAATGCACAAAGGCAGGGGGGAGAGAAATGTATCATCACCCAGGGGTTGCAAACGAGCTTTCCTCCCCCCCTCCCACCCACGCCCTCCCCCAACCCCTAGATTCCCTTCCTCTCGGTGGCTCATATACGTTCTGAGAGGACGCGCGAAATTGGGAAGGACAGCGAGGAAGGGGTGCCCCCGAGGGCGCTCATTCCTCACTCAATGCCGCATTCTTGTTGTATGAGACAGAGAAGGCGCGCAGAGAGGATTTGTGATGGCAGGGTCGTTTGTTTCGGGCCAGCCCACGTTGCTAAGCATGGAGCGCCAATCCAGAACTGTTGTGCCCGTCGCAACCTTCTTTCTGCCTGACACAATTATGCAGCCTCGTCATTCGTCCCTCCTGTCGGGACTTCTGGGAGCTTCTGGGAGCCACGGGGTTTCAGAAAGTGCTCTTGACCATCTTCCGCTGGGCCTTACTGCAAGGTTATATGGAATGCTGTGGCATGGTATGGTTTGGTGTCGTGAGGCGTAAACGTACTTCGAGAATGCGATCGTGTGTTTTCATCAGGCCGTCATGAGTGCCGTTGTACGTTGTGGTATGCCATGCCATTACGTAGTTCGCAATGGTACGGCGTGCTAAGCCGTCGACGCTTTAGAATTCATTGTTGTGGTGTTGGATCGTATGGATACACAGCGCTATGTTTTGTGACGATGTCATGCCACGGTGTGCTTTGTAGACGAACGCGTCGCAACAGCGATCGAATGAAGCCTTCGGAACCTTGAGCCCGAGAATTCTGAGGGACCCTGAGATACATCTCTCACGGTCGGGAACATTTGATTAGCGTGTCGGTCCGCCTGTTCTGGCCCACCACGCTTCGATGCGACACGCTAACCGGTAACCGCATCCCGGTCCACGGGAGTCAACGTCCCACGACACGCCATCCGCTTGCAAGGCTTAGCGTGTCGCCGAGGGCCACCGACGCAACACGCTAAGCAACATTTCCCGACCGCAGTCTCCCAGCAGCCTCTTCAGGGCGTCTGGCTCTTCCACGCAGCGTCGCTTTTTTCACCCTGTGTCTTTTCAGCCCTTGTTGCCATTTGGGGATCGCGATCGAGAAGTGGCTGCAGTTCAGGTCACGGGCAGGCGTGATTTGCATTCATGGGCTGCCTCATGCCTCACACTCCTTCCTTCCTTCTTTTTGGTTGTCCGCACACTTCCATTTCCGCTGCTCCCGCGGGATTCGTGCCCTGCGGCCAGCCCTGCCCGCCACGACCCAGGCGGGAGTTGGCTGTCTCCGTCCAGAGCTGACGTGACGCCGTTGGCACACCTGTAGCCGCGTCAGCACTCTGCGCGCCGTCAGCGAACAGAGGAGTCCAAGAAGCGTGCCGCACTTACACAGCATTCGCCAACCACGGGTCGGCCATCCCATGCGCCGCCCTTGCCTCAGGAGGGACTGGCGAAGGGCGAGAAGACACCGCACGAGCTCATCCTGAGGTGCATTCTCATCCCGAGGGGCCGACGCGCCAACTCCGCCGCGCGGCAGCCCCAATGCACCTGCGTCAGTTGGTAGGGTGGTAGGGCGATCGCTTGACAAAGGAGGAGCCCTGATGAACCACCCGGCTCTAGTTTGGATGTGTTATTATCGTTCCTGCTCGTCTCCCTCCCATACACACGAATCGTATGTTTGGGGAGCTTCGTGGTCATGCTTCGTGTCCTGGCCCACCCACAGTCACATTATACGGGCGCGTCCACGATACATTGGTAGATGTATGGCATTATCGGCGCGCGCTCCTGCGAGTTCGCGTTTGACCCCCAAACAAGCCACTCCCTGTGACATGTGAGAGGACAACTTGCATGTAGCATGCACAGTCACCGCGTTCGAGGTGGGAGAGGATTCAGATAGATGGCGACAGAGAGAGAGAGAGAGAGACTGATGTATATGTGCGTTTGTAGATGTCGAGCGTGGGTCGAGTGAGGGGGCGGCGGGGTCGTCGGCAGCCTGCGAGTTTCTGACAGGTGCCGATTGTTTAACAGATTCTTGACGATTCGCGTATCGCCGCCAGGTGAGGCGACGCTTCGGCAGCTAGTTGTTTAGGTTACGCCGATCTGGCTTGCTCCTGTTTTAATTAGTAGGCCCGCGCCCCGGACTTACGACTCGCCGCTTGCGCTCTCGCCTGCGGCTGCGACCAAAAAAAATATCGCCGCCAGGCGGCCCCCTGGCAGCCCCGGCAGCTTGCAGCTCCCGCCGCTGGCTCCTCTTGCCGCCCTGGCGCTGAGGTTTCGGCGGTAGGTCCTGCTCTGCTTCGCGCTAGGTAATTCGGCCCTCGCGCAGCCCGCTCGGACCTTACACGCCGTTGACGCGCCCGCCTACGGCTGCCAACAAAAACTATCGCCGCCAGGATCCGTATGCCCTCTGGCTCAAGCCGCTCTGGCCCAAGCTGCGTGCCGTCAGGAGGCCTCCGCCCGTTCCCTCCCTTTTCTTGTCTCGCCTTTCCCCGTCCACGTGTCCGTGATGAGCGCGTGGCTTTCTGGCGCGGGGCTTGGTCAGAGTGGCAGGACCCACGTGGTAGGCACAGTCAAGGTTGGCACCGTCAGCATGGCCCCCCACATGATACTCAGCGAAATTAGCACAGCCAGGGTTGGCATAGTCAGCATGGCCGCGAATTCGACTACGCCATCACAGTCTGGGCAGCCCGCCGCGCGAGACAGCGCTCGGCTCGTCAGCGAGCAAAACAAGTTATTTCTCCGTCTGGACCAAGATGTGACGCTTCGGCGGCCCCGACAGCAAACGACCCTACCACAGATTGCTAGCCCGAAGTCGTCGCTTTTCTGTGTCAGCATGGTCTTGGGGTGTATGCGTCGAGCTTCGCTGAGCATGGCTTTAAGCGCATGGCAGAGGTACGGCTTGTGAGTGATCGACATATGCAGGACATCGGCTTACGACCTGGTCATTGCATGCGTGGTGCTACAGCACTGGGCCAGCAGGCTGCAACTGAACAGGGAACCTGTGTCGACACTCTTCTGGATCCGCCTGGCTTGCGCGGCTGTCCAAGAAAGCTGCCCGGCGGCATGACCACGACGCAGATCCAGCGCGCCGACGGGTGGGCTGGCGCCCCGCCTACGCAAGGCGTTTCCCCTGGGACTGGCTTTTCTCCTCCCTCCCTGCCCATGATTCCTCGAGATGCGAGAGTTAGCCGCCTGCGCCGGGAAGATTGCGAAGTGGGTCGCCTCCACCGGGAAGAGCGCGAATATAGTCGCGAATCGCAGGTGGAGGAGCAGGGGGAAGTCAGGGAGGACCTTGCCGACCGCCCAACACAACCCACTGGCAACGCGACCTTTTGGCACACCCAACCGCTTCGGATTCCAACTGACTCTGCGACGGTCAGTCGCCGCCGCCAGGAAGAATGTGATGATAGTCGCGAGTCGCAGGGTGAGCGGCAGGGAGAAGACGATGAACGCCCGAAATGGGTGCGCAAGGAATGGGTACAATGCCCAACAGCAGTTCTTGTTCATTTTGAACAGGATTCGCTGTCCGCGCCGCCGCGGCCTGTGCCCATTCGAGACAGAAGGCCGCCTGCCCAACAGCGGCCGCTGTTGGTTTGGGACAACGTTTGTTGTTGGGCATTGCGCCCATTCTTTCCGTGCCCATTTCTGGCACCCAAAAAGAATGAGAGGACTTTGCCGACCGTCCGACACAACCCACCAGCAACACGACCCCTGGGAACGCCCGGCCGCCTCGGATTCCAACAGACTCTGCAATGGTCGTTCACCTACGCCGGGAAGATCGCGAAAGGCGTCGCGAACCACAGGAAAAGGGCAAAGAGAAGACAGAGCGGACCTTGACGACCGTCCAACGCTACAAACTAGCAGCGCGACCCCTGGGAACACCCAGCCGCCTCGGACTCCAATGGCGTCTGCGACGGTCAGTCGCTTCCACCAGGAAGAGTGCGAAGATA